GCATCATGTTAACATGAAGAATTTAAGTCAGAGAAGAGTAATAATTATTTTTAGAGCTTATAAGCTAGCTTTACTTGGATAGATTTTCCTTGGGTAAATATCTTGACTAAATTTCAAAGTCTGGTTTCTAACTGAGCTATATTGGAGTTTTAAAATATTCCTCATATGTTAAGAACTGTTAACATGCATAAGATATTGCTTTCTTCTCTATCTTAATAGAACTAAAGCATTGAATAATTATTGAATAACTTAGATATTGTTAAAGAACTCCTATTTCATTTAGCATATCTCTTATACTATGTATCACTTTGCGGAATGAAAGACAAAACCAGGGAATAGTCATTTTTACAAATGGACCATCTTACAAAGAGAATGGGAAGAGTGATGCTCTTTTCCTCAGGAAAGCACTAGAAAAGATAATGAAAATAAAACTAAAAATAAAACCTTCATAGGCTAAACTATTTAAATTATAAATATCTATGAGGAATTTTGTAGCATAAAATGACAAGAACAAAAGTATGTCGTTCAAATGAGATGTTGGGAGAATTTCACACCACCAAATCAGACTGAAAAAGGATAGGATAATTATTAAAATAATTTAGATTTAACTGAAATGTATAAAGTCAATATCTCTATTAACTAAATGTTTTGCTAGCATACAAAATTCAGATATAAAACATGAAGGTAGAACTACCATATTCTAAAGAGATTTGATCTTGGGTTTGGACATGTGAAAAGAAAAGAAAATATGACGGACTGAGGGTTGGCTAGTATATAATCAGCACATACAATTTCTTTCACAATGTAAATATTAGGAGACTGGAGGAAAGGCAATAATGTGGGACAGAATGATGCAAAGTTTGGAATTGTGTGGCAACAGCTTGTACAAATCAAAACATTTTTGAAAATAAGTGAGTTTGTGCATCTTTCCTTTGTGAAATCCTAAGGACTTCCATGGGACATTAGATCTGCCATTTATTTAAATAGAAATAGAAATTTGACTGAAAGACCTTCATAAACTTGCCAAATAGTTCCGTAAGGTCTTTTGAACAGATCTATATTAAACTGGCATGAGTAATCACTCAAGCCATCAAATCACTTGACTTGTATCCTGACCCTGTGGGGCAAGAGACTAAAATACATGAAAACTATCAAGGGGGGAACTTGATCTTCAAAAGAGTTGGAGTAAAACAACTGTATGGATTCTGTTTAAAATTTGCTGCAATCTAGCTCTGGTGATTCACTCTAATGAAAGATTTATTTGTCATTATGGCTATGTAGCCATACTCAGGATTGAACCCTAAGAGTTGAAAAGGTTGACAGTGGAGCTACACTGTGGACATCAAACACAGAATTATAACATGGAAATATTTCTTCAGAAAAGCAGTTCTTAAAAAAATCAAGAGTCTTCATAAGATGCAATATCTATCTGTCTATCTCTATATCTATGTATCAATTGGAGATAGGGCTAGATCACCCTTTAAGTCACCTTCCAACTGAAATTCTCTATGATTCTATGATTTTATGATATTAGGGCGTTTGATGGTGAACTCCATGTACTCAAAGAAAATATTTCTTCCAAGAGGGCATTCAAAGAAATAGGTTAAAAATGGGATTTGAAAGAGAATCAGCAATTCTCTTAGTAAAAGGTGATGATATAGGTCAGTATTGAAATGACCTGGACAGTGAGGTCAAATGGTATTTGGGAGAGTAGAAATTTTTAGACCTTGTTTAAAGTCCTTGAGGATCAATTAATTTTCAGATATACTATGTGGTCATGTGGTCACACAACCAGCATAATTTACTCCTGTCACAATGAGTATGACATTTTGCAAAGAAAAAACAAGTCAGTAAAAAGGCAGAGATATCAAGTTCACGGTACTTTTTTATAAATATGCAAATATATGGGTCTGTCAATTTAATATATCTAAGGAATACTGGTGTATATTGCTTGAGTTCATTTAAAATTTTTGACTAACAAGATGTACAAACAAAAAGGCCTGCTAAGTACTGAAAAATTTGGCTGAACTTACATGATGGAAGCAATTCAAATATAAATTTTATTTGGGGAAGCTGAAACATGGCAAAATTTTTTTCATACTATTGAGGGAAAAATATTATTCTAGTGAGAATATTAATTTTTTTAGTGGCTTATTCTCACCATAACAAACACGAATAATATAGTGACAGAGAATATGTAGTTTAAGAATTTTTCTCATCTAGTGCTAAACTCTGCATCTTGGCTGCTCCTCCTAGGATCTCTCTGTAGTCAGTGGAGAGAAATAGAAATTTTAAGGGGTAATTTGTCTCATGTAATATATAAATTGCTGTAGGGATGAAATGATAACGACCTGAAAGTGTGTATCTCCACTTAAGGAAAAAACCAGACATAGATGACTCTATTCCTCTTCAGTCTCTTATAGCTACACCACGATCATGGCTTCAGCTCCTGAATATTTAATGGTATTTCTGCAGTATAAAAAGGTATCCTAGGAAGGCAGAATCAGGTGCTTTCTGAGAATGGTGAGATTTTTTCTTCTAATTTTGTCTTGCAAATTGTCTAGTAATTTTCTAGTAGAAGTATCTAGTTTTAGATACAGAACCATTTGAACACCATTCTTTGAAGCCAGGAATGGAGGTTAGTGTAGTGGTATGTTTAGTGTACTCGCTGTACTTTATTTAGAAGCTATCAGGAAATACTGAAAGGCCTTGGTTCTAAATACCAAACATAAAAAGGATTAATTAAAAAAAAAAAGAAAAAAGAAAAAAAAGAAAATAAAAAGAAAATGCTTATATTAAGTTTCAGCTTTCTTGTGTATAGAAGTCTTTAAAGATTTAGTGAAAATTCATAAACTTTGAAACAGAGGGTACCAGTATCAATTTTGGATGGTTTTGAGCAGAAGTAATTAATATAAATCAACAGTATACATTTGTGTGTGGAAAAAAAGAGAGAGAGAGAAACTCAGGAGATGCAGAAGAGTGAAACGAGTCTGGTAAAGAAATAAAATATTTGCTTATTTAAATAAATTGAACCAACTGTACCTCAGGGGGAAAGATGTGAGATAAAAAGTAAGAGAACACAGTGAAGTTGAATATAGGCTTATTGAGACATCCCAAGCCGAACCCTGACTTGTGACTAACTTAAAGTATAAAACATGAACTGAATCTTGGAACAATGGTATTGGGGCTTATTATGAATATTGACTAACAGTGTGTCAAAAGAAAGAGAAAAGGAGATTGAATTCTACCTGAAAAAATATCAGGTATTCCAGGATGGAGAGGTATTTGGGGGCAGGCAGTGAGGGGTATTTTTCTATGCATAGTCACTCTCGAATGTATTGCCAGGTATGACACTTAAAGCACAAATAAGAATTATTTAAGCTGTAAATTCTTTGGGGTAAAGGTTGGTTCTTCCTATCTGTTTGTACCCTGCCTTGACTAATAGATGTTTATTTTTGTATGTAAATAATAGCAGAATTTCCTTACGGAGTTATATATATATATACACACATATATCTATATACACACAAAAAGTCTGACCTATAAAGTGGACAATTTCGATAAAATTCCAGGCTTTACTACCACCTTACCCACTGAAGTTCCTGAAGGATATAGCCTACTCCTTTATTTCACTTCACAGTTCCTGCACAATACAACAAGGCATTTGTGATAAGATACATATCTCAAATGTTTGGAGTTGGGGAATAGATTCAAACTATTCAGATTGTGTTGGTCTGTAAAATTGGTTGGAAATCTCATGTGAGAACATTGTTCTCATGAGATTTCTGGTACTGTCTTCTGTGAATCAGATCATAAATACTGCAAGAACTTTTTTTGTTTCAGACATATTTCTGCAGTTCTTTTCTCACAAGATAATTAGAAATATGGAACTGCACATAAATGAATAATAATGAAAATAAAAAGTCAGCAAATCATTGGAGAAATTTGATAAAAATCAGTTTGAAATTTTGGTAAAGACTGAAAGACTTTCTTTCATTCCACTGCTGCTTGGTCATTGTAAAGAGTGCACCCTCATTTTTATTCACACTTAACACGTGTTGCAGTACATCACTAATACTCCATCTATATGTATATGCTATCAGTTTATTAAGGTTTTAATTATATAACTTTTCATGTTGGGCTTGTGATCTTCTCTTTGTGTCTTTCAGAACAGTTCTATTCAATAGCTTTTGATCTTCTGGGAGCTTAAGGACTGAGTTGCCACTGATGCTGTTTGCCAGCAGCAAAGGGAACTTGGATATGGCCTGACCATGGAGACTGATAGGCCATAAGATATTAAGCTCCCACCAATTTCTATTTTCTCTTTCAAAGATTGCTAACCTCATCTCCCCAGGGACTGCAACTGCTGCCAGCCTTTAAACCAGCAGGAGTAATATCTGTCTCTAATTCATAATTACTAGGTCTCTGCTACAATAAGCATTGTTGGTGCTTGCCTTTATTTAATTAGTGAGTATGTGCATCTGTACTGGTGAGAAGTACAACTGGGTGGAAACATAGCCTCATTACTTTAAAGTTATTTTTCTATTTCTCTTTTTCCTGCATCTTTCTGTTGTTATACCCATAATATACAGCAGATCATTATCAGTAGCATTAATAAGATTCAATGCTGTGCATATTTTTCAACAAAATTTGTATTGCAAAAGAAACAAGGATAGCACCTTGTAGAATTGAAACAGACAGTCTGTCCCTGGATTTTTACCTCTTCCCTGTGCCTATTCCCTATTATTAATGTATATTATTACTTCAAGTATGTCAGAAAAAGAGACAAACAGTCAGAGGCAGAAATTTCTCCCTAATTCACTCTGCCTAGCCAGCAAAATGTAACACAAAATTATTCAGGGGAAAAATACAATTTTCTGTCATATCTGCCATACACTGATAACAAAGCTACAGGCTAATATGTTTTGATATTTTTGTCACTCGTTTATCATGTGACCTTTCATGCTATCATTAATACAGCTGAGGGACAGAGCAGATACACTGAAATAAGGGTGTGGAGAAGTCAGATTGCTTCTCTAACAACTAACGGTCAGTCACAGCAATTTATGCTTTTCTTCAGTATAGCATTGACTGAAGAAGAGAAATTGTTATTAAAATTTGATATTACTGTCTAGGCTCTGCCATATAGAATTTGCAACTTTTAGCTATAATGGGAATACTGGAAGGGGGAAGGCTTAATAAATTTCCCTTTGAATTATGATATTAATACAATACAACATGCTTGCTCAGATATTCAAGGGATATACAAGTGGAAAAATCATATTCAGGACACTCCAATGCTGCATATTAGTCAAAGTCCAGAGTTTTTATATCAAAGAAAAATATTTTAATAACATGGATGCAATCACCTTTCATTGGCTCAATTAAAACAGTTGCCTTTGTCATTTCTGTTTATTTGTTTGTTTGTTTTCAGAATTCCAGTTACTAATCGTGTTGCATAGTATTCAGCAATATTTTCAGGACATCCAAGAAAGTGCAATGTGTCTTTTTTTTATGTCTGTGTGTCTTTTATGATAAATGATACCTGGGTTAAATTTGCATTCGGCTTTACACCATTTCTGACAATAGTCTAGCTTTTTATGTTGCCTGTGGAGTCTGCTTTGTTAAAATTCCAATATAAAACTAATTTATATTTGACATTAATGAGTTAAGAAATGTTTTATACAGTATATCAGAGCTGAGAGAGAACTTTACAGCATTCTAGTAAAGCAAATTACTGCTGAGTAGAACCATTATGTAAAAAATGAAAAATCTTTTACTAATCTAAGCTGCTTTTCTTTTCAAAATCTTGTGATTTTTAATGTTTATATTAAGAAAGAACTGAAAATTTAACAGACTTTTTTCTCTTTCACATTCTGTGGGGGAATTGCAATTGGACTAGTTGGAAGAGATCTCTTTCATCAGTGTGCATGCCTGTGCCAGGTCAGAGTAAATCTTTATATTAATTTATAAAACAATATTTAAATACTTTAATTATTTAAAACATTAAATAATGTTTTTCTTGAGGATTACTTCTTTGAGTAATATTTTTAAGTGCACTAGAAAATGACCTTTACATGTGAAAAAAATAAGTAAGGATGAGCTTTAAATAGAAGGATTTTTAAATAGGTCCCAGAGAGAGCCTTGTAGGCTTGAAATGAATCTTTTTGCATTAGATCTGATTGCAAAGTGAAAGTTTAAATTTGTTATTACAAATTTAAAGACCTGATTTCCAGAAAATATATGCAAATTAATAATTCAATTTGCCAAAATATAAGTTGACTAAAATTTGACTACTTCTGTCAGTAAATTTACACATGTTGGCAGAAATAAACCCTAAATATATTCATGAAACCAGAGGATGCATTAGCACTACTTAGAAATATGATTTGATGATTTCATTACTTAGTATTTTGTAAACAAGCCCATAACATGTATTTTTAAACACTTTTGGTCCATTTGTAGTCAAATGGACTGCATACTCTATGCATGTAAATGTCTTTTTATAGATATATGCATATATGTATATAGAGTGAATTATATATAATTTCTTATTCATCAGATTCATTTGTATGGATAGTAGTGTCAGATAAATAAAAAGCCTTTTAAAGTCCTGCAAAGTCTAGGATATTCTATAGAATATTTTTATAGGAGGTAATGTATTTTTACCTTTTAGTGTCTCTGTAACAATGTTCTTAAGCGTGTTCTCACTGTATTATTATCACTTCTAATTTTTGGTAATTAATAATAGTGATTCCTGAAGTAATTAATAAGAAATAATAGATGCAGGAATAATGCTGATGGTACAAAGATTTTAAAATTATGTAAACCCATCACAAAATAATAATGTGGTCAAAAGACTCCTGTAAATATGCTAGTCAAGTGCAGAAAAATTACACTAAAATACTTACCCATTAAATTAAAAGCATCTTTCATACTATTCATATAGAAAAAAAAGTAATTATTTCATCTCAGATGATAGCCATAGAAGAGGAATATCACAAAGTGCATTCTTTCATTACTGCACAGTTTATTACAGACTAAGCAAGACATTGGCTAAGTGGACTTCCCTTTTACCTCCCTGCCACTAACAACAGTCCTGACCTGGACATGCAGCCTCTTTCAGGATGAGAAGAAAATGTGTCCATGCATGCTTAGTCTATACCACCCTTGAACAGCTTATATATCAAGCTGAATTGTACTGAGTCTTTTTCTTTTCCTTCTTTTTTTTTTTTTTTTTTTTTTTTTTTTAATAGGAGAATGTAGCTGTAGTGGAGGCTTCGGGGAGGTGTGTTTGTGACCGCTATCAACAAAGGATTCAGCTGGACTGAGAGCCTCCAACCTGTTTAATGTGATGCTGAAGGGAAAATTTGGAACCTTAATCATGGAATGAGCAGCCTCCACATTTACGTATTTTATAATTTACATTCTGCTCAGTGTACTCCAAAATATGAAACTAATAAAGGAAAGGAAAATGTAGAAAAGGAAGAAAATGCTATTTTATTAAAAGGTTCCTACTGAAGTGTATTTGAAAAAAGGGATTTTTCTCCTGCAAACTGGAATCAATTACAAAAAATATTATTGATTGCTGAAGCACACGTTAATAGCACAAATGGCAAAATTTTGTTCATCTTTCCAACTTTGTTCGAAGTGTATGTGCATGTTTTAAAGTGGAATCACTTATTGCTTTAATATTTGCAGCAAATTGATTGCAAAGCTATGAAATAAGAATCTTTCATTTCCTGTTTTCCTACCATAATGTTCAACAAAAACATACAAATGAACAAAAAAGGAAGGGGGATTTTAAGGCTGACATTCGTGTTTGCATGTAAATAAAGCACAAGCCACAAACAAAGCCAGCAATCTCACATACTTGCCTTCAGTGGTAAAGGATGGAAAGGCTGCCTGCTACCAATCAGCAAGTGGTTGCTATGGTTACAAGGTCAGGAAATATGCCTTTTCCCCAGTTGTCCAAGGCTTGCACATGTCACTTCTGAAACTATGAATTTTATATACAGGTCAGGAGATGCATACCAAAGAAATAAACAGTGAACTGGACCATAATGACAGCTAACGTTCAAACGTCCTTGAATTTTTTAAATTTCTATCCAAACACATTTTGTCATTTTGAATGGGTTGGGGTTTTTTTTGTATAAAATTGGAGCAATTCTTTCCTGTAATGAAATTTTGCAAAGTAGGTACAAACTATGCCTCATTATTATAAGCTGCATCAATAACTTTCCTCAGAAAGATGCTTATGTTCTTTCCCTTTATTTTTTTAAACTCTTTAAATTACAGCTTTGGAATATTATAAGAATATAATTTGATGCAACTTAAGAACTCAGAATAATAACTACTTTCTCAAAAACATATTTAATAATGCTGTATTTATCTGTAGACAAGATGGTGGTTAAGCTGTTAATGAAATGCAGATGGTCCTGTTTTAAAATACAAATGCTTCTTTACTCAATATGCTAAGCTTTAGGGGAGTTTTAATGTAATCTCTAAAGGTTGAGAATGATATAGTATTTGTAAAATGAGTGAATTGTGAAAGAAACCTTGATTGTTTATGTGTCGTTGAAGAATTTACTAGGAAAATTAGTCAAAGGCCTCTCGGGGGACTTAGCATTTTGCTACAGATAAGGTAGGTCAAGTAAATTTAGTGATGGTTATTAAAGGGTCTGTATTATTTTTGCTTTGTATTCCATAGTGGTACATAGTAATCCTTTCTGTATTTCAAACATTTTTAAAATCTATTCTTTATTGTATTATTATTTAAGAACTGTGATAATTGTTTTTGAACTTTCAACTAGGAACTGCTAAATGGACTTAACAAAAAGTGAACAACGAATTTGAAGTGTTATTTATACAATTGCAGTTCGAATATTAAGCTATGTTGCTTCTCCTCAAATGTGCATTATATAAATGTTATAGTCATGTAATTACAGCTTGCTTTGTATATAGTTGTTTCTTTTCTAACTGGGGAATGTACAGTAGAAGTACAGCATAGAAGTGTGCAGCATTTTAATAACACAGTACGTAGCACACACAGTTCAGAGCACTTGTAATGCCTCTTTTATTCTTTTCTCTATATGCTGTATGCTAAGGACATTAAAAGTTGAATTAATTGTTCTTTTTCCTAAATATTCCTTCCCACTTTAGTTTTCAAAAAAGTTCTTATAATACAGTATGTCTGTTGTTTTTATCATGCTGCTTTCTGTGGATCTCAAATTTCATTAATTGATCTGGAAAGCCTGAAACAGACCAAAATAGACAAACAACACAAAGAGAATATGATGTTTCCATTTCCTTTTGGATTATACTTTTTGTTAAACTGAACATTTTTATTCTTTTTATTTTGCTTGTGGGTGGGTTGGGGATTTTTATTTGTTTTTTTGCTTCTTACGGATTTTTTGGTTTGTTTTTGGTTAGGAAAGCTTAGTCTTTATCTTGATAGCAGTCCTTCCCTTTTCACTCTTTTTTTTACCCCTATTTTTTCCTCTTTCTCTTTTTTAGCAGAAAGCAGCATTCAAATGAGAAACTAAGTACATTTCTTTTCAACAGGCAATTTACCCCATGATGAGATATGCTTTCACTTATTTTTCTTTGACATTCTAGCATCTAGCAGCACAGCAGGTATTCAAAGGTTAGGTTTCAAATAAAGGATAACTACATTCTTACATTAATAGATACCATTGTATGAATATGTCATATTATGCCAGCATTTAGTGCCTCTAATTGTTTTTCTAAAATTATATGTGATAACATATATATAGGCAGAGTAAGAAAGATTTAAAAATATATTCCTTTATCATTATTATTCTATTTTTGCAGGTTAGCCTTTTCTGTAGCATTAAATTTTTCACATATGTGATACCATTTGAAATTAGGAAATTATTTGAGAAATTCTGCTAACATATAGAGAACCTGCAAGAAGCATATTTTAATTATGGGCTTGCTACTTGAACTGAAAATAATATATTCTGATCTTCTACCTGTAAGATTGAAAGCTATTCTAGCAGTCTGTAATATAATACTGTCCCGGGGAAACTGTAAATATAGATTTTATAGATGTGACTGAGAATTACAAATCTGTGTTACTAAGAACAGACTGTATTTAATACACTTTTAAAGAGTAAGACTAACAACATTTTTCCATTCGTACACAGTTTTACCATGAGACCATATTGCACTGTCTTACATACTTTTTTCCCCTCCTGTGACCTTTTTGTATGGCCAAATGAGTCTAGGTTATGTGTCTTGTGGCCTGTGAGCAACCTTGCCCATTAGCCAGTCCCCAAACCTTTGATGTGAACCATCAGCCCTACGATTTCTGTGGTTCATTCATTTTTGTGGTTCTCTAACGATCTCTGCCCTGGCTCTGAATCCTGCCTTTATTGTAGACAGAGCTGACAACAGGCAGCCTTGTCTTTCATTTCCTTGATGTACTTTGTACTGCAGTATGGCTTTTGTTAGTATTGATGCAAACATTACCATAAACCACCACCTAGGGACTAGAAACAATTGACTAACTGTTTTCAAATCCAATACACTTAAGTTGATCAGACACAAAGTTTAAGTACAGTTAGCTATAACAGCACCAAAGCTGTGTGGTCTCAGCCTCTATAGACTGAAAAATAAAGGTCAGTGGAATGAGGATGGTTGTGTCAAGACAAACTGCAATGAAATTTATTCAAGAGGTGAATATTGGACCAAGAATTCATTCCTTCACTTGTTTAACAGGAAAAATATCGGTTTTACAATCAGAACTATTTGAAATTGTATACATTTAATTTCATTTAAAAGATCATTCAAAGAAATAAAAAAAAATAAAATGTAGGATTATGGGGAGAGAGCAACCATTTTAGTAGAAAGTCCAGATTGTGATGAGATGCACATTTCAAATTGGCTAATTTTTAAAAATTTTTCAATTACATTCTAAACAGCAGGCTAACAATCTCTATACTCATTATAACTGAGCATTCCTGATATGGAAAAAATTCAAAGTTAGCAATACTGTAGATGCAAAACTGTGCCTGACCCCTTTTGTATAAGGAGCAGTGGCAGGGTCATTTGCTTTTTGAGCTTCGTTAGATCCTGAATTCAAGCCTTTGTAAAAAGGGCTATTCAGATTCAGTTTCCGTATGATTCTTCAAAGATGTCAGTTGCTCTTTGAAGTTTCTTCCTAAATTAAGCAGTTGAGAACTTAAGAAAGTGAAACAAAAAGACTGAGAAAATGAAGTGGATTCAAGGATCCATGAATATTTCAACTGTCATAAAAAGCTCCATATTGAGCATACAGTAATATGATTATTAACCTTGTGATTTATTTAAAGTATGAATATGTTAAGCTATAGTATTTAAACAGTGAATGCAAACACATCAAGGAAGAGTTGAAAGAATTTGAGCTTTTAGAGGAAAGAAGGGAGCAGAAAAATAAGAAAACAAATACTGATGCTCTGATTTTTTTCAAAAGTTTTGATACAGCCATTACTTGGAGCTGATTCATTAGTAGCTATTCTAAATTAGTATATGTTACCCAAAAATAGTTATATGATACATTTATGAAAATCTGACATCAGTGTTAATGTGATTATGTCAGAGAGAACCTCTTTTAATATTAAAATTTGCAAGTTCAATTTTGCAACATTTGTTATTTTATCTAAATGGCAGTAATGCTTTTTGCATTATTGTTAATCTAGAAATAAACTTTTGGCATTGACTCAAAATTGCTGATATTTATATGCCTAGATTTTGCTTTTAATTGTCATGTTCCTTTTACTGTGAGTAAGTTCTCTGGAGCAGAGACTGTTTATCTTCTATCTTTCTATAAAACCCCCAAAACACCTTGGATGACTTTATTAGCAATGACAAAACTTTTTTTTTTTATTTTATTTCCTTATTTTTTATTTTAAATATTTTTGGCAATATTATTTTTGTAAGATAATGTACAGTATGATTTTTTTTAATCTGGACAGTAATTTGGCAGACTACTTACCCCGAGAGTCTCCAAGGAGGAAGAGAAAAGCATTCTTTTCCAAGTTCTTCATAATTTTTTTGTTTCTCAAAACAATAAAATTTTGAGTGGTAATAGGCATAACTCTACCTTATTTTGCTTTCTATTGAAAGTCAAAGAAGATTTGAATGGACTGCCTGGCTATATTTCTGTTTCCCTTTCACTATTAAAAGACTTCTTCACTATCTCACAACCACGTTGTCCCTATGTACACTCAATCCCATTCCATCCACTTGTGAATCTGATGTATTGTCACGTCTTCTAGATTTGGTGGT